TTCTCAGAGAGGTGACCTTGGTTAAAACACATAGTGCCAAGAAGGTGAGCAAACATATTAAGAACAGTATGCCATATATGCCAGGTCCCTTGAAACAGCAAGGATGGACTGGCTCCCGGCAAATAAGATTTAACTAAATGGACTTTATAAATAAAGTAGATTGCCCTCCATAATATGGGTGGGCCTCATCCAATCAGCTGAAGGCCTGAGTAGGAAACAATTGAACTTCCCTGATCAGGAAGGAATTCTGTCATCAGATGGCCTTTGGACTCGAATTTCAGCTCTTCCCCAAGTCTCCAGCCTGCTGGCCCACCCTGCAAATTTTGGACTTGTCAAGACTCTACAGTTCCTTAAAGTAAATCATGTGAGCCAATGCCTTAAAGCAGTGGTTCTCAACCTGTGGGTCGCGACCCCTTTGGCAGTCGAACGACCCTTTCACGGGTTGCCTAAGACCATCCTACCTATCAGATATTTACATTACGATTCATAACAGTAGCAACATTACAGTTATGAAGTAGCAAGGAAAATAATTTTATGAAAAAAAAAAAAGAATTTTATGGTTGGGTCATAACATGAAGAACTGTATTTAAAGGGCCAGAAGGTTGAGACCCACTACCTTAAAGTAAAGCTCTCTCTCTCTATATATATATGCACACATATCCTGTTGGCTCTGTTTCTCTGGAGAACCCTGACTAATACACCTTAAAAGCCAGCCTCAGCTGACCGATGTTTCTCTCATCGATGTTTCTTTCTCTCCTCCCTTCCCCTCTCTCTAAAAAATCAATAATAACACATTTAACCTCAGAGGGAAGGCAAGGGAGGAAGGGGGGGAAGGAAGAGATAAACTACCATAACTGGTTTGGCTGAGTGAATAGAGCATTGGCCCACTGACTGAAGAGTCCTGGGTTTGATTCTGGTCAAGGGCATGTACCTTGGTTGTGGGCTCGATCCCCATTAGGGGACGAGCAGGAGGCAGCTGATCGATGTTTCTCATCTGTGTTTCTAACTCTCTAACCCTCTCCCTTACCTCTGTAAAAAATCAATAAAAATATATTTTAAGAAAAGAGATCAACCAAAGGACTTGTATGCATGCATATAAGTATAATCAATGGACACAGACAGTAGGGGGGTGAGGGCATGTGCTGGGGTGGGGGTGGGGTGGGTGGGAGTGGCCGGGGAGAGGTCAATGGGGGAAAAAGGAGACATATGTAATACTTTCAACAAAAAAGAATTTAAATGAAAAAACAATTTTCTAAGAAGCTTTTGCTTCACTGGATTTGACATGTTAAAAAATATATTTAAAAAACAAACAAACAAACACAACAAAAGCCAGCCTCCTCTTTGACCTAGAGCATGACCTTTGTTTGGCTGGGGTAGTGATGCTGGGGAAAGAGCACCCTCAGACACGGGCTCCCTCTGGCTGCCTCTCCCACTAGCATTGGAGAAAGTGGCCTTCTGCAAAGCACCAGGGAGCCACTCCTTGGCTTGCCAGAGCGTCCCCCCCAACCCCCACCCAGGTTCTCCACACCACCCTGGGGCTGCTGCAGGAGGGGCAATGTTGTCTGAGGATGCTGGCCACTGTCACTAAACTCTTCAGGGGGGATGGCGGCAGGGCCGTCTGGGGAGGACATGGTGGAACATAGGGGCTGATGGTTGTTGGTAAGGGTCAGCTTGGCTCCCATTCCCTGCAGAATGGTGAGCTCAGCAGCCTGGGCAGCCAGGAAATGGTGATGGTTTGGCGGGAGATGAGGGCAGATTAGGGCAGAGCAGAAAAAGCAGGTGGAAAAGAAGTTCAGGACAGCTGTCACCTATGACTTAGAAAAAGTAATTTGCTGCAGGCTCACATGGTGCTGGGTACTGGGAAAAATGTAAATTGCAACCTGGGGTGAGTTCTGTGTAAATTGGGAGGGGCCCTGAAAGATAGGTAACTATTAGCTGAGAGGCCCAGCCCCCTTATATGGTCTCTGCTCATCAATAGGAACATGGCGCTGGAAGGAAGAGCAATAAAAGGCCCCTGGAGATACTATTCTACCTGTATTTGGAATGCTGCTGAGTCATAATCCCCACACAGAGGATCCTGTGTCCCTGCACTTCTCTGGAACCTCCCTTTGCATTAAGATGCTCAGGGGATGCCTAAGTGGAGTCTGCTCATGGGGTTCATTAGCAGCTGTGGGTCACTGCTTCCGGTATTCCCTTGGGGCTATAACAAAACCCAGAAACATGTGGGGGCTAGGAGCTGGGGGGAGAACACACCAGGACGTAGGAAAACCTCACGGGGTTTCCAACTCTCCCAGCCTAGTTTCTCTGGCCTCCTAGTTTGCATTTCTTTTGGCTGGATGCACTATGTATGTATCATCGCGAGCTGCCATATATCCTTTTGGGACAAATATGAGGGGGGAAAGCATATGTGTAGTATGGACGAAAAAAACAAGAGGGGGCCACATGCTAACCTGACTAGTTCAGGGAAAATCTGCAAAGCGGTTGGGCAAACTTAAAGACCTAAAATAACCACAAAGGATGGTCTGAAAATTAAATATTTGACTAAAAGCAGTTTATAGTGGGTAGTCGTGTATAGTGGCTAGTATTTTCCCTGACAAAGATCAACTTCGATTTTACTTAGCCTATTGTCTTTTTGCATCTAAAATAATATACGTGTGAAATGTCTGGGGAACTTGTAACCCCTTTTTCCGGACCCCTCAGGGCACAAAAATGGCACCAGGGCTTTCCCTCATTGTTACTGTTCTCATGTTAACTACCCTGTACCCATGTATGTAAAAGAAGCATATGTCCATCACTTCACTTTTTATCCAATCCCAGAGGTTTCCCTGCTCTGCTTTCTCCTACCTCCCTAATCTATCACCAATGGATTTCATGTAACCCACTTAGGTTTTTTCCTTTTGATGGTAATTTATAAAAACAAGGTATGAACTCACCTTTCTCAGGAGCATTATCCCAATCCATTGAGATTCTGCTTCCTGGCAATTGTTGACAGTTGGGCTCAATTAAACTCACAAAATTCTTTACAGATTTGAATTTTTTTTTTTTTTGAGGAACTGAATTTTTAATTTTATTTAATTTAAATTAGTTTCAATTTAAGAAATTTAACTGGTACAAAATATGTTTCTGTTAAAAGCAACTTCATTGTTTTGGTGTGACATTTCACTTTATTTTTTATTTTTTTAATTTTTTTTTAATTATTATTAGTTAAGGTATTACAAATGTGTCCTCATCCCCCCCATTAACTCCCAACCTCCCCCCGCCACACACACTCATGCTCCCATCCCCCTGTTGTCCATGTCCATTGGTTTGGCTTATATACATGTATACAAGCCCTTCGGTTGATCTCTTCCCCTTACCCCCGCCCTCCCCTACTTTCCGTCTGGGTGAATTTTTTTTTTTTTTTTTTTTTTTACCTTAACAATAGACAGATGAAAAAATATCTTCCCTCCTTCTTTTGTAAATGACAAAATACTTGCAGAATAGTCATTTCCTGTCTGTGGCAGGACAGGATCTCTGTTTGATTCTGCTCCCAGCTGAGGACTGGATTCGAGAAGCCATCCCTCCCCTGTCCTCTGACTGCCTGGAGGGAAGGTCTAATGCCCCTCCTGCTCCGCTGGGCTCCTGTCTGTGTGCTGTGCCTCGCCAGCGGGACCAGCAGGCAGCAGGGGGGCTGATGGGTGTTGGGCAAGACCCTGTGCCCATCTGGGCAGGGTGGCCCACCACCTTCCCGAGGGGACAGCGGGAAACCACGCCCTGCACACGCCAGGGACTGGGCTGACAGATTTCCCGGGAGAGCACCTTGGCTCTTCTCAGGATAAATACCTTAAAAAATAAAAGTATTTTTAAGGCCTGGTTCATAGAATCGCTCCTTCCCTAGCTACTCAATGCGAAGGAGTCTAAGAAGCAAAACAGAAAAAAGAAAAGAAAAGGAAAACGTGGCCACAGGAGGGTGGAGCAGGCAGTGGTGTGGGGTCTGAACCTTCACCCCCAGCTTCCCCAGAGGCAATCCCCCTGGGAGACCTGTGCTGGAAGCCACGGGGGTGGGGCTGGGGCTGCAAACATTTCAAGCCACCTCAGCAAGCCTCTCATTTACCATGTGCCCACACCCACAGCTCTGAGCGGTTACGCAGCACCACCCAGCCAACTCCTCTTCTGGGGCAGGGGTTGTCCTCACCCTAAAGGCAGAGAAAGAGGAGTCGGGGACACTGAGCCTTGCAGAGAGCCACTATCCCCCCTTCCTCCTCCTGATTCACCCAACAAATAAGTTAAGAGCCTGTTCTAGGCCAGGAGAGGAAACACTGGGACAAACACCCTACACGTAGCTTGTCTTGGAGGACGTGGGAGCCGGTCATGGGCTACATGACCACACGTGGGCTCCGTGGCCCTGGAATGCGGTGGAGTGACTTGAGTTTGTAGCCAGGAGGAAGAGGTGGGCAGCTGGGGTGCCTGGCGCTCAGGAGATGCTGGGTCTGGGGCTCCTCTCCCTGAGGTCTCCTCGGGTCTGAGAGAAGGGGCCTGTGAGACCCCTGAAAGGCCCCATCTATATCCCAAGGACCCCGAGTGACCCACAAAGGCCAGCCTGTGCTCCATGGGTGCAGAGTAAGAGAAACGCCCTTTTCTCTGCCTGGAGGGCTTTGACTTGTTTCAGGAAGCTGACATCTGAGCCAAACCATGCCACTGCCTTCCTTCTCCGTTTTCTCCCCTCCATCCCACCCGTCTCCACAGCCAAGTGCTGAGAGTGGACGCTGTCCTCAAGCTGCCCTGAGTCATGCCCCCCACCCCCAGATGTGTTCACCTTACAGTTCTCCCGAGTCCCTGGGCGCGTTTATGAGTTTCTTCTTCTGGGCTGATAACGGACAGTCGCCACAGCCCCTCTGCTCTGAGGTGATCAGGCGGTGGCTGCGTTCCCAGGGATCTCAGCACCTCCCCTCAGACCCCAGAAAAGTGCTCCTTCTTCCTTCACCAGAGCCTGGGCCTTGGAGAACACCTCCCTTTCCTACCTGGTGGCTTCTCTGCTGCACAGGGCCCAGGGCACCTCCCTCGGGTGGCTGGGGGCCACGGAGGGGGGCAGGCGAGGCTCTCCCTGATGTCCTCCTGGCAGCCACTCCTCTGGCTTGGCGTCCCTGGAGGCTGGGAGAAGGAGAGAGAGCTCAGTGGACTTCTGTTCTGGAACCTTTTGAGGATGCTCTTTACAGGTCTGGGTGGCAAAGCCAAGAAAAGCACGCACCTGGGCCAGCCCCTGGCCGGTCCCTGCAGTTATGGACAGGGACTTGCTTTTTGTGCAGCTGGGACTTTCTAGGCAGCCCCCTCGATGGGCAGTACCTACAGCCGGGGTGCAGCAGCGCGCTCTGGCCCAAACACACGCAGCACAGGGAAGTGCAGGCCTGTCCGCCCCATGGCCTCCCCAGGTTCCCCTCTGCCTCAGTGAAAAGCCGACGACACATGGAATTCCAACAGGAGCCAGAGACACACTGAAAAATTATTTGTGTTTTTTTCTGAAATTCAAATTCAACTTGGTGCCCTGTATTTTTACTTGGTAAGTCTGGCAGTCCCAGAGGTGGGGTTTTCTTTACTTTGAGCTGCCCTGGGTGCCTGTAGGCCTGAATTCCTAATTCCCAGCTGCAGCCTTGAGCTGACCCTCTGCCAGGGACCAGGCCCCGCTCATCCTGCAGACCTCCAGGGGGAAGTGACGAGAAGGCCCGGATGACTGCCCAGGAGGCCTCCTCAGAGCCTGGGGACAGGGACCTGGACCCCTTCTTCTCTGGCCCCACTTCCTCTTCTCTTCCTACAGCCCAAGGGGTCCATGTTTGCTGTCAGAGCTCTGCAGCGACAAAGTCTGGATTCACAGCTTCCAATCTTTTCAGTTTTTAAAAAAATCTCTCTGGTACCTCTGTGATATGGCTTCTGCTTTATCTTAAATGTAAAAAGTCTTTCTGGCAGGTCTCCTCAGCCTGCAAGGGCATATCTCTGACTTCCAAATAAGGAATCTGTTTCTGGTATGAAACCCAACGGATGGCTTTATCTACTGGACAGTCTCCATCTAGAACTGGGTCCGGAACTGATCCATGCTTCAGTGGCTGGCTTGTCTGTGCTCTCTGCTTAATGGGCTTAGGAGGAGGAACTAAGCTGAACTCTCCCTAGACCCTCTGTGGTTTTGGTTCAGTCACCAGATAGCAGTCACCCTTCCCTCCACCGTCCGCCACACTGCGGAGGCCCCCGGGGTCTCTCAGTCAGTGAGCGCTGGGAGCTGTGGGGAGAAGGGCAGCTGCCTGTGTGCCCCGAGGCTTCCTGGGACAAGCACTGGTTTCCTTTCTGTTCCTCCATCTCAGACAGGGCTGGGCATGTTTAACTCCAGGGCCCACTGACAAGGCACGTGATGCTGATATTCAAGATAGTCTTGGTCACTGGGGAAATGAGAATAACTTCCCTCGGGCCATATTCTTGGCTTTATTCCTTGGGAATGATTTCCTCCCAGCACCTGGGGTGAGTTCTTTGCTTAAAAAGATTGTACTTCCCCCAGCTGGTGTGGCTCAGTGGTTGAGTGTCACTATGAACCAGGAGGTCACGGTTCTCTTCCTGATCAGGGAATATGCCTGGGTTGCGGGCTCAACCCAGGAGGCAGCCGATCAATGATCCTCTCCCATCATCCATGTTTCTCTCTCTCTCTCCCTTCCTCTCTGAAATCAATAAAAAAAATATGTTGGCCTTGCATTCAGTTGATCAAGCAGTTTGAGGGTCCCACAGGTTTCTTCTCATGAGTTTTACCTTCGTGTTGACTGATGCATAGGTCTGAAGGGGGTGTCCTGAGCATATGCCCTGCAGGTCACACTGGTGGGTCCCCACTGGGTCCTGGGTGGGGCGTTAATTCCCAGCCGAGTGAAGGCCAGGAGGCCAGACTCAGCAGCAGGTCATGTGAGCAAGGGGACCTGTGGGGAGTGGTTGGGCGAGGCCAGGATGGGACGGGAGACAAGGTGAGCAAGAGCACAGAGGAGGCAGAAAAGGTTGGAGAAGCAGGACTGCATGGGGGAGGGCCAGGAGTCAGGTCAGGGAAGGAATGACACAAAGACAATGGGATCAGGGTGGCCACCCAGCCCTTGGCCTTCTTCTCTCCTTGCTCATCCGCACAGCACTTGTATTGGCGGAGCCCAGCTGCAGCTCACAACCAGTCTCAAATTAGCATCCCAAGCATGGAAGCCAAGACTGTTTGCCACCCCTCCTCACATAGAGGCTGGGTGACAAAAGGAAGAGATGGCTGTGGCCAGACCAGCCGAGAAGCTGACACTGGCCTGGGGACATCGGTCCCGGGTGGCTATGGCTGGGCGACCTGAAAGAGGGTAGAAGGAGGAACGGAATCTAGACCAGAAACGGAGTAGGTGCTCACTAAGGGACCTAGGGAAAGCCGTTACCTAGGCTTGGCTTCTCCCAGAGAAGAACTGGGACGAGTAAAAGGAATTTAAAGGGGAGCTGAAGACGCTGGCCCGAGGCTGAGAGCAGCCTGGCAGAGCGGGTGAGCAGAGGTTGGTAGGCCTAGTCCAGGGGTGGGCAAACTTTTTGACTCGAGGGCCACAATGGGTTCTTAAACTGGACCGGAGGGCCGGAACAAAAGCATGGATGGAGTGTTTGTGTGAACTAATATAAATTCAAAGTAAACATCATTACATAAAAGGGTACGGTCTTTTTTTATTTTAGTTTTATTCATTTCAAACGGGCCGGATCCGGCCCGCGGGCCGTAGTTTGCCCACGGCTGGCTTAGTCTCTGGCAGGTGGAGGGCACACAGGTCAGTGTTCTGGAGTCCACCAAGGTGGAAGGGGAGTTGATGGGCAGAGGGGGAGTCTGAGGAAACAGAAGCAGGTGGAGGTTGGGAGACTCAGACTACGGTCTCAGCGTTCAGAGCAGGCTGACAGGTGCACCCACAGCGTGACTTGGGACGAGCAGCTGTCCCTATTCCAGGCCCCCCATCTGGAGGGGCTGCTGAGCAGCTGCTGCCTCCCCAGGGAGAGGCACTGGGGGGCGACTGATGATTGCCAAGGCCGAGTCCCTGGTGGGTGCCCACTGTCCTCACCTGAGGAACCAGAATTTGCCAGGGCCTTCACTTTGTCAGGGCTAATATTAATTGTTCTTGAAAACAACAATAATGTCAACATTGCCAATCAGCTGCCACTCAGCCCTCTGTCTATGATAACCTCCAATGCCGCCTGGCAGGTAACAGCATGTACGTCTTTCCAAAAGATAGGACCACACCTGCAATCAGTGCAAGACAGAGAGCCACCCTGGTGGTCATTTGGTAAAAGTAGGATGTTACTGATAAATAAGTTACCCTAAATGCAACCTTTTGGAGGTCCAGGCCTATGGAACTTGAAACCATTTTTAACTCAACAGCATCAGATCAAATTGGCAAAAATTGTTACACAGCCTAAAACCTCCACCCGGGCAGCAGAAACCTTTGGATACATTGAGCCGAAAGGCGTATTACTGCTTAAAGCTCTAGTAGAACCCAGTAAAGAACAGATGATCAAAGCTGGCAGAGCCTCTAGCACTGCTCACAGCAGGAGACTCTCCCGCCGAGTCCCCGACAGCCTGCTTCCTTTAGCTCTGGGACTGTCTGCTGCTCCGAACCCAGGCTTGGAAGTGTTTGGATCCAATTGTGGGCAGATGATAAAAGTTCTCAGATTTTTCTCATACTGGAATCTGACCTGCTCCTCTGTTGTTTTTCCTATTTGGAGGAGATTAGGGTCTTATCTGGCTAGCTCATATCCTTTTAATTTCCTCTTGAAAATTAAAGAAAATACTTTGTATGTTTCTGATGCAACGCATATATATTTTTTCTGGCATCTGAAAAATACTTTTTAGAAATCAGCAGCCCAAAAGTGTCCCCACGTGCTGCCCGTGTTATTACATGAAGTCGAAACGCAAGGCTCCGAAGCACCAGGCTCGCCGCCCTTGCAGACTGGAAGGTGGGCCTTGGGCGGGGACTGGAGGCAGCCATTCCTGGCATGTCGGGATGTCTGGGGGGAAACGGGATGGTCTTCCAGCCTGCAGGAAAAATGAAAAACAGCCATCAAAACAGAAAGAGATATATGACTGCTGACTATCTTGTAGCATCACAAACAAATACAGAAAGTAGAAGTACCTGAAATTCTTTTGTTAATTTGCTATTAGCAGATATTAAGCCTTTTTAGGGGTATTGGTAGAAACTAAGAAGTACCCTTGCCTTGATCATATTAGCTCTTATACATTTAGTGATACGTAGCTTAGTATCTTTCTAAGACACAATTCTATCTTTTGGCTTTGAGTGACCTGGGGTATGACATTTCAATCAATTTAAGGAACCAATCTTCTGGTTCGTCCTCTAAGGGTGAAATAGATTAGTGAAGGGATGGGTCCAATCCGAAAAGACGTGACATGTCATGTCAGCCACGACAACTGGAGTTAGGCAAACACAGGAATCTGCCTAGATCAGCGATTCTCAACCTGTGGGTCGCGACCCCTTTGGGGGTCAAATGACCCTTTCACAGGGGTCGCCTAAATACATCCTGCATATCAGATATTTACATAACGATTCATAACAGTAGCAACATTACAGTTATGAAGTAGCAACAAAAATAATTTTATGGTTGGGGGGTCACAACATGAGGAACTGTATTAAAGGGTCGCGGCATTAGAAAGGTTGAGAACCACTGGCCTAGATGGTGTAGGTATGGCCTTCCGTCGGCACCTGGTGGGTGAAGGTGTCTGGCAGATACTCATTCATCCAGCAGACATGTATTAGGTGTCTCAGTACACCAGACCCAGGCCAGGTGTGACAGATGGGAGCGAGCAGGGTGCTCCCAGGCCAGCCTGTATGCACAGCACTCACTCCCCTCAGCAAGGAGACACTAGCCACCACCTCTAGTGAGGGCTGGGGGTGCGGGGGTGGGGGCACATCGAAGCAAGCACATGCCCACCTGTCTTAGGAGTGGGCCCCATGAAATAGTTGTTCTTGAATGTCAATTCCAATAGCAAAGACAAGCAGACACTTAACTGTCCTAAGGGGGCACGAAACGCTGTGTGTGTGTGTGCGCGCACACGGGTGTACGTGTGCCAGTCCTGAGCTCTGACCTGGGGCCAAAAGAGGGAGAATTTACCAGATGTAACACCATGAGCAAGGTGAAGAAGCAAATAAATGACTCACGCTGGGTTGTTACAGAAAGATTTAAGCACCATAAGGATTGGCAGCTGCAGGTACAGGGGGCCCTGGGAGCTTCCAGGGCTGGGGGAGTGGGGGTGGGCGTCAATAGAGAGGGACCGTGCCGGCCAGGGTTTGACTAGATTTGATCTCTAAAGGAAACAGGAGCCACAGGAATGGCATTCCATGTCCATGGTTGTGGAGCGGGGACCCAGCAGGGAGGTTCCTTAGGAGGCTCTCCTGGGCAGAGGAGAGCGCTCAGGAGGGCAGAGAGAAGGGCCAGAGCAGGAGCATGTGGGAAGGAGAGGGCTCTGCGTGCATGGACGGTTCTAGCTCAGTGTCTGGGTAGTGACACCATTCCCTGAAGCAGGGGGCTCAGAGGACTGTGTCTTCACCCAGGAAACCTGAATCAGGGATGCTGCGGGGACAAGTCTGGGCTGAAATTAGAGATGTGGGTGTCAGCAGCATGGAAACCAGACAAGTGGGGCCTGCAGTACATGGCATTTAGGAGGAAGAGGGTGAGAGTGAGGGACCGCCCACAGTGTCAGCGGACATGGAGGGGGAGGGCTGTCAGCAGTGTTCTGGGGTCAGGACAGGAAGGCCACTGTGGCTGAGGCAGCAATAACTTGCTGAAGTCACTACCAGACCACGTGGGGCTGTGAAGGGCGAGGAGGATGGGCCAGGGAAGTCACCAGAGAGGTGAGGGAGGCAGGGAGATAGCAGTGGCAGTTGGAGGTGAGTTTGAAGAGGGAGCAAAAGAGGCATTAAATGATGGAGCAAAGTTCGGACAGTGATGGGAGGAGAAGGAATTCTAGAATCCATGGAGGAGGGAGACTTGGATCAGAAAAAAACAGGCCAAGGGGGAGGCACGCATCTGACGCTGGGCTGAGGAAGTGTCCCGGATTGCACAGGGACCACTGTATTTGTTTTTATTTTCAACCTTTCTTTTCATGATTATAAAACCAGTGTTTATCATGAAAAAATTAGGAGAATATATAGAATCTATAATGTTCTGCCCTCCAAATACCTAGACATTTTAGACATCTTTTAAAAAAGGCAGATACAGCCCTAGCCAGTTTGGCTCAGTGGATAGAGCATCGGCCCGCAGACTGAAGGGGCCCAGGTTCCATTCCAGTCAAGGGCATGTACCTCAGTGGCAGGCTCTTCCCGGCTCAGGCCCTGGTCAGGGCGCTTACAGGAGGCAACCAATCAATGTGTTTCTCTCACATTTATGTTTTTCTCTCTCTTCCACTCTTTCTAAAAGATCAGTGGAAAAATATCCTCAGAGGAGGATTAACAACAACAAAAGCAAATACATACCCCCAAAAAACCACACACAAAAACTTGGGATCACTGTGAGTGGCCAGTAGGCTAGATCCACACTATTTTTAATTTGCTTTATCATTTCCTAATATATTATGAGGCTCTTCCCATGCATTAAATATTCTTCTAAAACATCATTTTTCAATACTGTTTTGTGTGAATATATAATTTATGTAATCAGCCTCCAACTTTGGCCATTTAGATTATTTTTCATTTTATAAATAACTAGAGGCCCGATGCACAAAATTCGTGCAAGAGTACGCCTTTGCAGCTGCATTGGCTGCCTGGATCCCTCCCTCCCAGATGCACTGGCTGCCTCATCCAGAAGGTCCTTGGGTCTAATTAGCATATTATGCTTTTATTATTATAGACTAGAGGCCCGGTGCACAAAAATTTGTGCACTTGGGGGGGAGGGGGGTCCCTCAGCCCGGCCTGTGCCCTCTCGCAGTCTGGGACCCCTCGGGAGATAACGACCTGATGGCTTAGGCCTGCTCCCGGGTGGCAGAGGGCAGGCCTAATCCCTAGGTGCAGCCCCTGGTCGGGCTCAGAGCAGGGCCGATTGGGGGGGTTGGGGCACCGCCCCCTGTCACACTCAAGGCAGGGTCGATGGGGAGGTTGTGGCGCCACCCTCTGTCACGCACAGAGCAGGGCCGATCAGGGGGTTGGGGAGCTCCCCCCTGTCACGCACAGAGCAGGGCCCATCAGGGGGTTGGGGAGCTCCCCCCTGTCATGCACAGAGCAGGGCCCATCAGGGGGTTGGGGAGCTCCCCCCTGTCACGCACAGAGCAGGGCGGATCTGGGGGTTGGGGCGCCGCCCTCTTATCACCCACAGAGCAGGGCCGATCAGGGGGTTGGGGCGCCGCCACTCTCACACTCAGGGCAGGGCTGATGGGGAGGTTATGGCTCTACCCCGTCACACACAGAGCAGGGCCCGTGGGGTGGGGGGGTTGGGGCGCCGCACTCTATCACACAGAGCCGCAGGGCGATCAGGAGGTTGGGGAGCTCCCCCATATCAGGTACAGAGCAGGGCCGATCAGGGGGTTGGGGCGCCTTCCCCTGTCAGGAACAGAGCAGGGCCGATAGGGAGGTTGTGGCCCCGCCCCCTGTCACACACAGAGCCGCAGGGCGATCAGGGGGTTTGGGCGCTACCCCCTGTCATACTGATCCCGGTGCCGGGAGACCTCGCGGCTCCGCTGATCCCAGTGCTGGGAGGCATATTACCCTTTTACTATATAGAATAGAGGTCTGGTGCACGGGTAGGGGCTGGCTGGTTTGCCCTGAAGGGTGTCCCGGATCAGGGTGGGGGTCCCCACTGGGGTGCTTGGCCAGTCTGGGTGAGGGGATGATGGCTGTTTTCAGGCTGGGACTGAAGCTCCCAACTGCTCCTTTTTTTCTTTCTTTTTTTTTTTTTATTTTGAGCCAGCTTTAGCTCTGAGGCTCCAGCTCTTAGGCCTCCGCTCCTGAAAGCAGGTATCTGGTTTGTTTAGGTTCTACAATCGAAACTCTGTATCAACTCCAGGTCTGAGATCCCGGCTAGCTGAAAGCTGGTTTCTGGGGTTTTGTTTAGCTTCTATTTTTGTTACAATGTTTCAAACTGCCAGCTCAGAGGCCTGCAGTGGCAGGCGGGGAACATTGGAGTCCTCCGTCACTGAAGCAAGCAAGCCCCATGTTAGTTTCAAGCTGCCTGGCTGCCGGCCGCCATCTTGGCTGGCAGTTAATTTGTATATCGCCCTGGTTAGCCAATGGGAAGGGAAGCGGTCGTACGCCAATTACCATGTTTCTCTTTTATTAGATAGGATGTGGCAATAAATACCTTTGTATATATCTCTGTAAAATTCTGACTCCTCAGTATAAAATCCTAGAAGTGGGGTTACTGACTCCAAAAGTACTAGTATTTTGAATGCATACAAAGCAAGTATCAGAGTGCCCCCAAGGTCACTGAGATTCTCGATCTGTCTATGCTCTGGCAGCACTGGGTTCTTGGGGGTGCTGGTGTGTGTGGAGAGTTATATTACTTTTTAAAGAGGCCGACTTAAAGCTCCCGAATGTCCTTTCTGCCACCCCTGTGCCCCGCCACCCCCTCCGACCACACCACATCGGCCAGTTCTCTCCCCTCTAGGCGCTGCTGAGAGCAGTAATCCCATCTCATTTACTGGTGCACCCCCAGCAATTAGCACACCATCTGCACCGAGTGACATGCATGGAGGGTGGTGATGGGCAATTGCTTTGCTATAGTGGGAAGGCCCACTGTTTCAGGAAAATGAGGTTTCTCATTCCTTGCAGGGACCATATCCGCCAATCAGGGGACAGCCACATGTGCCCCCAGGTATGGAACATGTCTCTTCTTTCTCTCCTGGCTCATAGATTGATGCTCAATCCACTGAGCCATGCTGACTGGGGCAGGATAAATGCTTTTCAATAGAAACATTTTATTTTGAAATGTTATAAACATACATCTTACATTGCAGTTTAAGAAAATAAATCCTTTTAGCCCATACTTACACTGGGTACCCATTCCTGTGGCCGCTGGGGGTGACGGGCCTGCGCAGGGGTTCGTCGCCGCCCCACTGAACACCAGCTGGCCCCTTCCGCCTCGTCTTCCCCGTGTTGGTCATGATCTGGTGGAAGGAAAGAGAAAAAGGGGCTGGAGAAAGCATCTTGAAAGCTGACCTAGAAGTAGAACTTACTATACTTAATTCATCAATCTATAGTAGTACGAGGCTTTGCAAATAAAAGAGGATGGATCATGCCATAGATTATTCAAATTTTCTCCTTGTGTTTGCGTATTACACCATTTAGTAATATAAATTTTAAAAAAAATCAAACCATAAAGAAAAAGGAGACAAGCCCTAGCTAGTTTGGCTTAGGGGATAGAGCGTCAGCCTGCAGACTGAAAGGTCCTGGGTTCGATTCCGGTCAAGGGCACAGGCCTGGGTTGCAGGCTTGATCCCCAGTACGGGGCTACAGGAAGCAGTCAATCAATGGTTCTCTCTCATCATTGATTTTTTTTTTTAAATATATTTTATTGATTTTTTACAGAGAGGAAGAGAGAGGGATAGAGAGTTAGAAACATCGATGAGAGAGAAACATCGATCAGCTGCCTCCTGCACATCTACTGGGGATGTGCCCACAACCCAGGTACATGCCCTTGACCGGAATCGAACCTGGGACCTTTCAGTCCGCAGGCCGACGCTCCATCCACTGAGCCAAACCGGTTTCGGCCATTGATTTTTCTAACTCTCCCTCTCCCTTTCTCTCTGAAATCAATAAAAAAAAATTTTTTTTTTTTAAAAAGGAGACAAAAATAGTTGAATATAGTAATATCACATCTCTGGAGAGGACCAGCTTTTGAAAGCAAGAAGGGAAAAAAAGACAGATTTAGTTTCATGAAAAATTAACGTTTCCACCCTGGCCGGTGTTCTAAGTGGTTAGAGTGCTGTCCCTCCCCAAGGGTTGTGGGTTCAATTCTGGCTCCAGTTGGGGAGAGTGCGGGAGGCAACCACAGCAACAACAAATTTAACATTTCCAAATATAGAGTATATTAAAGATAAGCAACAGCCTAAGAAGAAATATCTGCAGCAAATTTAAGCGATTAAAGGTTAAAATTTTCATCAGATGAGGAACTCTTATAGATAAGTGGGCAAAGAATTCAAACAGCCAAGGCACAAAACAGAAAATATCACCATAAAATAGAAAAATAATCAATCTTACAAATGAGGAAGTGAAGAAATAAAATGAAGTCACCATAGTCAAGCTGCTAAATTACTAAAATCAAGTAAATCGAGGCCTGAGGAAATGATTCTATTCTTGCTTTAACTAGTCTGGGAATTTGAACTTTGGAACTTTCCAGTCTGGTGTCAATGCCTGGATATACAACAGACCCAGATAACCTTCAGAAGGACCGAGGAAGAATGTGTGAGTACCCAGACCACCTGACATCCAGTTTCCAGACCATGGTCATCTAGAGAATTATCATCTCTGACCAATTCAGAGGCTGAGAATGCAGAGCTGATTCTTTCCAAGAATGTACTTGTTACTGTAAGAGCCCGCAGCTTTTCTTTCTTCTTTGGAACACTGTGTATTGCCTAGTTGTGTTTCTGGTTTGCATACCGTAAGGCCCTTGAATAAATCTTTATTATTTATTTCTAGCAGTAGCCTCCTGACTCTTTTTGAGTTTTTCAACACAACTAATTAGAAACTACAATTTTAGCCTTGGCCAGGTGGCTCAGTTGGTCCAAAGGGTCCTGGGTTCAATTCCGGTCAAGGGCATGTACCTTGTTTGCAGGCTCCTCCCAGCCTGGGTCCTGGTCAGGCAGGAGGCAACCAATCGACGTGTTTCTCTCACATTGATGTTTCTCTCTGTCTTTCCCTTTCCCACTCTCTCTAGAAAAATCAATGGAAAAATATCCTCGGGTGAGGATTAACAAAAAAACAAAATGATAGCGGCTGGAAATCTGAGATAACTCTTTTGGAAAGCAGTTTGGCATTTTATATGAAGAGTTGTAAAAATGTTCATATCCTTGGGTGTTAATCATAGTGAAAGAATCCCAAATATGAAAAATGTTAAATAAATAAAGTTGCTTTACAAAATTATTATAGAGTGAAACTGGAACAATCTAACTGTCCAGTCATAGGGGAATAATTAAGTAAAACATGGCATGTTCATTTGAAATATTATATAGCCATTTACACTGATAAATACTAGTTATAAAGAAAATGTTCATTTAAAACATTAAGACGAAACTGGTTTGGCTCAGTGGATAGAGCGTCGGCCTGCAGACTGAAAGGTCCCAGGTTCGATTCCGGTCAAGGGCATGTACCTGGGTTGTGGGCATATCCCCAGTGGGAGATGTGCAGGAGGCAGCTGATCGATGTTTCTCTCTCATCGATGTTTCTGACTCTCTATCTCTCTCCCTTCCTCTCTGTAAAAAATCAATAAAATATATTTAAAAAAAAATAAATAAATAAAACATTAAATAAAAGTCAAGTTATAATACTGCATATAAATGATGCTTTTGATTATGTTAAAAGTATGAAAAAAGTCTGGAGGGATTTAGTCAAAGATACTAAATGACTGCAGTGGCTATGTGGGATAGTAGAACCAAGAGTAATTTTTCCAAGTGTTCTGTAATATGGTTATATTATGTTAATAATTTAGTTGTTCAAAAAAGAAATCACTGAAAAACTGGTGAAATCTGAATAAAGTCTGTGGATGCTCCAACACCAATTTCCTGGTTTGACAAGTGCTGCAGTTACATAAGGTACTGGGGAAACTGGGTGAGGGGGCATGCGACCTCTCTGCACGACTTTTTCAACTTCCTGTGAATTTATGATTATTTCAAAGAAAAAAGTTTAAATTTTTTAAAAATTGGAATTATATCTGTGATTTCTTGATTTTTACTGACAAGTTATTTGGGTTTATCTACAACTATTTGAGTGAAGGAAAAGAAAAAGGGTCACTTTCTGATGGAAAGCATCAATAGGCCTCACCTGTGTTGTGGGGACAGCCACCAGCTTGGGCAGTAGGCAGCAGGTAGGCTGGGCCTAGACCTGCACTGGTAAGGGAAGGGAAAAAGACAGGAGAGAGAAGGTGGGAGGGAGGCCTCTACCCTCTTGGAGGAAATGGAACAGAATTAAGCTTTCCAAGTAAGAACTAAAATGTAGTTTTGCTTTCCTTTATATCACTTGTGAAATTCGCAAGAGAGTGGTTTGAACTGCAATCACTTGATACTGCTGTCCACTCTGACCTCCCTGTCACACTGCCCCCACCTAGGATCTAGGCCTCACCACAGAGCAGGCCCCTTACGTCCAGTTCTCAGCAGTACTTTAGGACCTTTCATGCCTTCTCTTCCCCCCGTTTTGCCAGTAAGAACACTTGGGTCTTTCCACACAGAGCTGAGGGGGCTAAGTCTGAAGCTCTTGGGAAAGGGTGAGAGTGAATACGTGGGTTCCTTCAAGTCTGTTGCCAGCCCTCTGCCTCCTTCTCCCCCCTCCACTGTCCTTTGGAGCTTGACCCTCCCTTTTCCTCCAGGAGGAGAGAAAACATATCACTGATATTTGAGTGTTTCAGCCTTTGGAAAACCCAGGCAGCCAAACCAAGTCCTTAAAATGTCACAGACCTAAGAAATAATTTATGGTGTGTGGTATCTGTCCTCTTCAGTGGGTTAGGAAACCGAGTCTGGTTTGTGGGACAGAATGGTCTGGTTTATTATCAAGGTACCAGAGGAAAGGTCCTTGGTGAAGAGGGTTCAGTGTGCAGGGCCCAGGACCTCTCATGTGGCATGCCTGGGGTCTCAGAGCAGCCACTGTTTCCTAGTTATCTACAACCTGCTGACCTTGCAGGGGGAGCCGCGGTGTGGCCCATGCGATTTCTGGGACCCTCAGCTGCAAAGGAGCCTTTCTGAGCTGGAAAGATCTTAAACAGTGTCTGGTCCAACAACCTGCTGTCTACACAGAGGTCCACAGAAATGCTCAGGGGTTGCTGGGAGAGAAAAGAGAAAGGGTTCCTGGCACCCACCTGACTATCCAGAGGAACTCAGCTTTCTCTGTCACAGATGGAGAGTGTATTTGAAAGAACAAAATCTGCTGCTAAAAAAATTTAACCACAATTTAAAAAATGCAGCTCATGATTTAGCTGCATGTAATTTATTTACTAGTAAAAGATGGTCAACACATGCCAATTTAGGTGAAAGATATATTTTTCCATTTACTAGTTTTTGAGTACTGATGAATCACTTAAAGAAATTATGACATAGTATAAAGTGTAAATGTATATACTTAAAAATACTCACCGTCCCAGACTCCCTTGCAGCTAGGGGCCATGTGACCCAGTTCTGACCAGTAAAACGTATGTGGATGTCACCAGATGGAGCTTCGGGAAAAGCACGTGAGGGGGTGGGTTTGGCTGGCCTGCATGTTTGGCCTTCTCCCCGACTTTATCATGAATTTAATCCTAGAGCTGCATCCATCATCTCATGACCAAGAAGCTCAAGCACATGGATGAAGGGCTGACGCACAGGGCAGAACTACCACAGGGCTAATGGAATTAAAGCTTCCAGGCCCCAGAGGGGGCCCTAGTAATGTGTTTTTGTTTGGGCATATGCTTTTGCAAAATTTGCAGAAGTAGGATATTTGTAATCACTTAATACTGCTGTTTTCTCCTACTCAGACTTTCCTTCTAACAGACAAGACATGTGAAAATTAAGAAGCTGGACAGGTAGATAATTACTACCAAGCATGGGCAGACCTTCAGATATTATGAAGGTCCCTGGCGTGTGCCCTTTAGTTATATTCTAATCCCTCTTCTATTCACCAACAGGTCTACTTGTGACAGGCAGCTAGGGCCACCGTGCACTTCAGGGCCACTGGAAACACACTGGCTAACATGGAACTTCTCATAAACACAGTATCGTAACAGAATAGACCAAACCCTCATATGTTATGGCCAACATTCAGGCCATCAATGGTCCATCTCTCCTTTCTACTTCAGGACCCCCAGCCCCTTCACGTGGTACTTACTCCCAAGTACTCCGTGGTCAGGAGCTTCTCGCCTGAGAGTTCGCCGAGCTGGGGCTGGATCAGTTCGTCTTTGTCCAGATCGGCTTCCATGGTGTCATGGTCCTCCTGTTTCAAAAGAGACACAGGGTGAATGCTCTGGACCCCCTGCCGCAAGTTCCAGTGGGCACCTGCCACAAAATGAGAAGGCCTTAGCCCAACCACAGCAATGCGTGGGTCTGCCTTCTGCTCATGCCTCTCCATGAAGATAAACAGGAGAATGCCAGTCCACCTCTTTAGGAGGCTGGGTGCCTGTTAAACACGTCCACAGCCACAGCTGAGAAGAGGTTCAATAAGATGCTCAACCTCAACGGTCTTGAATGTATCGATGTTAACATCCTGGTTGTGGCATTACACTATAGTTTTGCAAGCTGTTACCATTGGATGGAACTAGGTAAAAGGTTCATAGGATTGTTCTGTAGTATTTTTAACAATTGCATGAGAATCTACAATGATCTCAAAATAAAAGTTCCAACTGTAAAAAGAGAGGAGTTAAAAACAAAATAGCATCTATGAGCTGGTACGCATCTGTGTGTAATCTGTGTGTAATGCCAGCTGAGCAGCAGCCATTGTAACGGGGGCCCTGTGGTCCTTTCCCACCCCCCGCCAGGACTTGAGTGATTGCACTGTCCTTTGCAGGTTAAATGATAAAGATCAGTACAAAACAGACCAGACCGTCGTCTGACCCGGGTACTGACCAAGGAAGGACGGAGTCCATATGAATTCAGGGAGCTGGCCTGCTGTGGAAGCGGGAAAGGGGGATGGGAGGGCCTGCGAGGAAGCTGGCAGTCCAATCTGGGGGTGGGGAGGGGCTCGTAGAGGGGGTGCCCCAGGTCATCACGCCCTGGTGACCATGGTTCCTGAGATCATCTAACCAATCCTTCCCCTAATTCCTGTCCACTCAACACCCTGTAATTTGGTTCCTCTAAACTTGCCAACAGGAAGAGAAAGCTCTATTCTGCAAACATGAGTACCCTGTTTTATTTTCAAATGAATTTCCAGTCGTTCTGGATGCTCCAGGCTTTTGTGAATTTGATTTACCTGAGTCAGTTTCCAAGGAATCTGAAAGCTCAAATTCCCAGGAGGACTGCCTCTGGGTAGGGCTGTTGGGAGGGAGGGTGTGGGGTGGGTGCAGGCCTATCTCTCCAGGCTCATTTTAGGACACAGATAGCGCCACCTGCCACTGCTAGACAGTGTCACCCAGGATGGGCCGTCTGAAGAAAGGGGGATTTTACTTATTCTAAGTGGTCCCCAAAGGCAGAGCAGAGCCAGCAGGCTCCAGAGCCTTCTCTGTCAGGTAGCCTGTCTCACTGGTGGGAGGGGCCAAGAGGACTCCCACCAGCACACACTGGAGAGCATTTAAATGGTGCCCTCGTATAGAACCATCGAGGAACCTGCTTTCCATTCCCATAGCGCCTTCCATCCTAACTCTTACGACGACGACGGTGTGGATCCTTCCATCATTATTTTGTTTGATGTGGAAAACAAGCCTGAGACAGTGACAACTCCATTGTGACAGCCTGGCCTGGGGCTTGGGGCAGCCCCTTTCTGCCCAGGTCTTTTTGGCTTGGCCACTTGGGGCCTGCAGAATGCCTGTTTCCGAGGAGGCCCAAGCAGACTCACCAGGTCATCTGAGGCCCGAGGGTACCTAGTGCCTGGTCCAGGTTGAGCTCAAGGGCCAGAGAGTGTGAAGAGGAGGGCCACAGCAGCTTTCTGGAGTTCACAGTCTCATCCCGCTCTCTTCCCGTCCCATCTAATCACAGAGAATCCACTCCGATCCACCCTGGAACACCAGGTTCAGGGGCGATCTAACCCCTGGTCCTGACTCATTCGCCATAGCCAGGGCAGAGCTTTCTCCTGCTGTGGCTTCACCTGAGTAGGCAGCTCAGCCAAGTGTAGCTACTCACCATCCTGAAATTTCAGTCGGGGACCCTCAGAGGTAATGCCATCTGTGAGGCCCGGCCTGGGGTCAGCACTGGGACAGCGAGGGGAGATTTACACCGTGGCCTCGGCTCGGAGTTCAGTTTACTAAAACACCAACACCTCAGTGATCAAATAGTGTGTGCAATACTTGATTATTTCAGGAAAACGACTGCTCCTTGTGAACAAAAGCAGTGGGCTCTGTGGTCAGAGTGAGGGCAGGGCGCTCTGGGCAGTGGAGTCGTATTTCAGCTCTTTTCCAGGGAATGAAGCTTTGGAGGCACCGGTTGGGAATGGGCATATGAAGCGCGATTTCACAGAGGGATTGGTGATATGCCACTTCCCTGCCAGGATGGAATGTGAAACGTTAAGAAACAAAGCAAACGTCCACATTCCATTTCAATGGAAAATAAATGGTCAATGGCTAACCTCGGTCAACACCGGCCAAGTATTTCTTTACCCTGGACAACAAGTACATGTGTGAGACATTCACTTGCCGATCAACCTACACTCATACAAACTAGTGACCGCAATGAAAGCTTGATGTGTTAACTTGCTCAAAAAACAAGTTCGTAAGAGATTTGTTAAGATATTTATTTTTAATTAAAACAAATTGAAATTTTTCTCATTAAAAGTAGCATATAGTTAAATTTGTTTTTTTTGTAATTGATAGGCCTTTCCTAACCTCCAACACACAGGTCAAGGTCCGCGTTTGGTCCCTAATATACAACCCTTCACTAGGAGTTGACTCGAGTTGCAGCTACTGTGTAAGTGTGGGCACCCCAGCCACCCACTCACCACCGTCTCTTTACTGGCAAAACACGGGCAAATACCATTGGTGCTTTCAAGAATATCATGTTAATGTTAAACGCATAAATGTAAGAACACGGACATGAAAACCATTTTTCAGTTGGTAGTTCTTGGTTAAGACAGTTTTGTTCCGAGGCTCTAACTTGGAAGCCATGGCTCTTGTCAGCGCCTAGGTTTCCCCATCCATCCATCCATCCATCAAGGTCATCTTGCCGACTCCTTTAAAATCATGGCTTATATTCTCTGATCCTGAAAAGGCATATACTGTATAGATGTAAACAAGTCACTGTCGTCATCTTTCTAGGAAACGCTAACACTGGTGAAAAGGAAATGGAGGCATCGCCAGGGCTCCCGAGACTCGACGAGCCACAGTAAACTGAGCTGAGCCAGTGGAGCTGGAAAGTGCAATTGAACAAAGAGACGCAAGAGCTGAATTCAATACTATTCAATCTAATCCCAGCCCCTCTGGGAAACTGCGGGAGGGAGGTTCGGGAAGGTGAGGAGACCGGGAGGTGCAGTGGGAAGTGTAAGCAGAGAGCTGACCAGGAGCGATGCCCACTGTGGCAGGCACTTTTGCCAACAGGATCAGAACCACTGAGGATGTATGAGAACTTTCTGCAATGGGCAAACCTAGGACACATTCAGTGACAATTACTGCTCAAGCATTCCATCTGGGAGAGAGGCAGCTACTTCTCATTCCTTCCCCAGTTTCCGTGGGAAGGATTCTGCTCCCCTCACTCAAGTGCAGGCAGCTGAGGGTGGCGATGCCCCAGGGCCAGAGCCCATGTGAAAACAGTCACATCGCTAACTTTTCCGAGCTGCTCTTGAAATGCCAAACGAAACATATTTCGCAATCCACTTAGTGAAGGAAGGAGGTGAGGAATAAGAAAATGCTTCAAGAATAAACGCCTCCTCAGGGTGGGGTTTTAAATACCATTGTTGGAAGGAATTTTACTAAAATTACTGGCCTTTATGTGCTCGAGCAGCGGGCATCAGATTACTGAAGGCAGAGCTTAGGGGTAACTGATTACTTCAAGAAATTAAGAATGCCTCATAAGAAAGGCGCTTGAGGTGAGAGGAATTTAGGTGCTCTAATGCGAAGCTTCCCTGTGGCAGCTCGGTGATCTTATGACACAAGATGCTTAACTGGAGGCCTCAGATACATAATACTCCAGACTAACCAGATTCTAAGCAATTGGCCTGAAAATAAAAGTAAGGTTAACCACTAAATGCATTTGAAAACTCAGATTCTTACAGATATAATGAGGAGAGCAGAATGTATTCAAGTGGTTTTACATATGACAAAAGTATCCAGTGTGTTTTCCACTTGAAATAATTATAAGACTGCTACCAACAGTTTAAATTTGAGACACCTTAGAACACTGCATTGTAAATCTCACTCTTTGTAAAAATAACAGAAAAACACTCCGCATGGGAGAGAAAGGGTGGACAAGGTGACTGGACAGGCAGCGTAGTCAACATATTTTCCCTAGTGCAGCGGTTCTCAACCTGTGGGTCGCGACCCCTTTGGGGGTCGAACGACCCTTTCACAGGGGTCGCCTAAGACCATCCTGCATATCAGATATTTACATTACGATTCATAACAGTAGCAACATTACAGTTATGAAGTAGCAATGAAAATAATTTTATGGTTGGGGGTCACAACATGAGGAACGGTATTTAAAGGGCCAGAAGGTTGAGAACCACTGACCTAGTGGAATGGACCCTTTCCTTCCTTTTGTGCTTTTTCCTGGCGTGTGTGTGTGTGTGTGTGTGTGTGTGTGTGTGTGTGTGTGAAGCACGTCCTGAATCCTCAAGGACACACCGTGATGCCTGGAAGTTGTTTGGGACAGCAACTTCCCCATTCACAAAACGCACCCAGGTAATGATGGCTGGTCTAACTACCAGTCCCGTTTAGGAAATAACCACATGATAGAAACCAGAGAAACCCCAAGATCTTTACTTCTTTGATTCTTCTAACCCATTGCTTACCTGCTCAATTTGCTTGCTTAAATGTTTTCTGAGGTCTAAGTGAAACAGCAAGATATATGGTGATAATGGCAAAATGCTCTGTGAAAAGCCACACGTTAAAATATGTAATACACAGACTTGGAGGCTCAATAGGACGGGAAGTGAAAGACAGTAGGAAGCTTTTGTGGGACAAAGAGAGGAAGCAACCATCATCACACCGGCAAGAGGACTAGTGGCTGCTTCTAAACAGGGGTCCTGAGTGTGCTCAGTTGATGGGGGGGCGGGGGAGAGCTCAGGGGAAGAACAGACTCAGGGACTAAGTGTGCCCCCAACCCTAAGAGAAGTAGGGGGGTGGGGCTAGACAAGAA